GAGGTCTATGCCACCAGTATCAGAAGCCATAACCAGGGCTTCTGGTTTTATCTCAGTGGGCGTTGGATGCTTGACCTGAATCATGCCCGGAAGCATACTTACACCATCGATGAGGAAACCACAAACCGAGCAGATTCAGGTCATGGATACATTAAACTTAAGTTGACCGAAACATGCCCGCTCTTCACCTCTGTTTAAGCTAGTAACAACGTGAGTGAAGCACTGAAAGCAATGTAAGGATTTTAATGTTCTATTGCTGCACCGTCGACCAAATGGGCGATTTGGCAGACGCCATACTCTCTTAAGCGTGATCGCAAAGTGCTGACCTCAAACTACAACACAGTGGAATGGCACTGTGGCGATCCAACGTTGTCACACATTGATTCTTATTTTGGCTGAGTCTGTAATTCCTCCGGGAGTGCCTGTGAGGGGTGGACGTCAGACTGAGTGAAGTGTGAACACTGTTATGTGTGGTTGTGTTGCCGCCGGAAACACATCCAAATCATTTTCGCCTAAAAACTATAGGGTTTCCGAAGTTGCGGCTTCCATTATCCATAATCCGTAATCCATTTTCACCTTGGGCTGATGTGTCGCTCACAGCATCTTGTTTGAGTCAGCAAAATTTCAAGGCTACGGACCGCCGCTCATTCCCATTTTGTCACCGGTTTAGGAGGGATAAGTCGTGAACTCGCACTACGAAAGATTCTCCACTCCAGATATGCATAATTAACCTGCGGATGACACAGTGTTACAAGGTCACTGCAGGTAAATTACCAACACAATGATATCATTGCTTCTGGGAATATAACGTTCCATATGTGATGTGCCTCATAAAGCATTAATAGAGTGATAGCTACGAAAAGCATCCATTACCAACCGCCATGATATTCGAATCCGTTACCGCTCGTCTCGGCTACCTATCGTAACTGCTGGGCCAATGTTTATCCGCGAAGCTAATGATGGGGCCTCACCTGTGCACGGTCACCCAAACCAGTGGACAACAACGGCACTTCATGCGCATAACTGTACGCGTTGTCGCTCACCTCGACTACTCATTGCAACTTACAGGCCCGTGCCTATGCCTGAAGCTCGTTAAAGAGCCCCAACTATACCTTACAGACGGAATTTTGTATCCCCAGATGTCATCAGTCTGCCAAGCTCATGCCTGAAAAACAACCAACCTTGGCGAATTATGCTTCCAGCTATTGGTTGCATCGATAAAACTTAACTTAAGACCCGAAATCAGAAATAAATGGTACCAGGAATCTCGTAGTAGGGAATCACTTATGTCACCGCCGGAATTCGTTGAAGTGTAAAAGTTCTTTGGAATAGTAAGTTGGTGACAACATATGAGCCGGAACGCAAACCGCACAGAAAATTTTCGGCTTCATGATTAACACAGAATGAACATCTATGGGATATTTACATCCGAATGAAAAGTTCAGCATATTAGAGCACACGCGTCTTGCACGCGGGTGGTGCCAGGTGAAGAGTTTAGCCATCAATTTATCATGTTGCAGTGCTGTTACTAAAGATACATGATATCTTATTGACCGAACTTTCTCAAATTTCGGGCTCTTGTCTTGTGAGGTTGGTCCATTGAATATGAAAGTTGAACAACTACGCATTGCGTTTGTATTGGCACATCTGCCGAACGGAAATGCGATTATCCAATGGTTTTTTCGTTGCTTTATAACGGGCGTATGTAGGAAGTAAACGCGCATATAGAGGGAGGTGGTGTTTAGGAAAAGTATGAGGTAAACAAACATTAGTGACCAATTATCCCGGGTGGAATTTGCATAGGACGTTCTGTAGACGTTAACCAATTCTCAAACAAAACCGAGGAACGCTGAAATAGGCCGTAGTGCGATTTCACGACTTATCCCTCCTAAACCGGTAACAAAATGTGAACGAGCGGCAGTCCGTAGCCTTGAAATTTCGCTGACTCAAACAAAATGCTATGAGCGACACATCAGCCAAAGGTGCAAATAGATTAGAGCAATTCCCTTTAGAAGCCGCAACTTCGGAAACCCTACAGTTTAGGCGAAAATGATTTGGGTACGCTTCCTCTGAGGGGCAGTTTTTTTAATTGTTCTTTCGAATATTCGTAACTGGCGTGTATTTTTCAGTTTTTATCTGTCAACCGAATCGTGTAACTTAACAGCTGATTTGCCCCAGTTCGGCCTTCACGCGTAGTGATATCATTACTACGCTTTCGGTGATGCCTGCTCAGTTGCTGACGGACTATCATCTATGAAACCTGGGGAATCGAAAAACGACAACCTGACTGACCTGCAGACACAAGTTTGTTACACTTCGCTCGTTGATCGCGCGGCTCGACTATTCAGCGTCTAACCTGGCTCAGCGACATGCGCCTGTGGAATTGGATGAAACTTAAACGGAAAATTCGGCTTCTAAATGTTTCACCGACCTGCTTATGTTTTTAAACTCCTTGAAGGTATACACGAACAATAAGTATGTCGATTTTGCCCGTGTTAATTTGAAGAAATCCAATCAGGCGACAAGCACCAACACAAATCTGTTTCACCAGTATGATGGTGATTACAAGGGTTATGTGCACTTTATAGAAATAAATACAACGCAAGAAGGGGACAAGCCGAAAAGTGACTTATCGTTTGAGGAAAACGCTTGAGAGTTCTTGAGTGAAGTTCCGGACGCGATACGTGCCTTTTCTGCTGTACAGCTGTTACACGTGTCCGGTGGATCTTCGTGGAGAGTTGAAGAGCCGGTTGGTTTTCTGTCTTGCTTACGCCTGTCGCTTGCATATTGTTTGTGTACAATGTGAAGAGAGGGGTGTCCACATTTGTATGATAACTTCAAGGACATAAATACGAATATACATGGAGTGTTTGCATTTCTTAAGGCTAGCACATGACGCAAGTGGTAATCTCGTTAACAAAAAATATGGGAACTTTTATTTTGAAGATTCTCGGCTAAGGTTGAAAGTGCGACACGAGTTGTTACGTGATTTGAGGGTTTGCGACGCTTGGTCTATCGAGCGACCGCTGCAGATGAAGACTTCCCGGTAGTCTTGCGGTTAAAACGCTTGCACCCGTGTTCGAACTTTGCCGCAATCATATCAGTAAGGTAAGTTGGCCATCCACACACGCATCATTTGGGTCGACTTTCGATTCCCCATCGATAACTGACCGAACACAATCTACCAAAACGATGAACATGCTTACCTTCAGTCTCACGGTACCTGGCGTTACATGTAGAAAGTCCTAATGGGCAGCTGGACCGCGCGGTTGGCAGGTCGAATTATTTGAGGGACCCAGTAGAACCAGGCCCTCCAGAAACTCTTGTGAACCCCTTATTTTTACGTTTTATAATAACACCGCCACCGATTTTGAAGCGTCTTGCATGGTTAAAGCTGAGGGTAAAGTGGCGAAGTCGCCTTTCACTTTTGCCTGTTAGATGATGTTATCAATGTTAGAGGCCCGGGCTCGAGCCGAGAGCAAGAGCTATTTGATCTATGGCGGAGGAATTGCATGCTTGTTCGGCGGATTTGTTTTGCAATCCGATTTATTTGCCGGGGCGAACAAGGAACGCAAGCATCACGTTGCAGTTCCGGCAAGTTATATCCACCAATAGCCACTTGGAGCACTGAAGCGGCGTTTCGACGCCCCCTGTCAATTCTTCATTAGTCCTTGTGTTGTAGTGACAGTTTCTTTTCGCTTGTCTGGATAATGTCTTGTGTGGGGCCTCCATAGAAGTGCCGTATTAGCTGATAGTGCTCAACCAGACGAATCCAGGTTTGGCGTCGCCTGGTATAACAGCGGAAACCCAAGCGAAAACTGGTGCGTATTCGGTACAGTACTGAGGATGGCAAAGTATTATGCATATAAATTAACGGTTTCCCCAGTTTTAGTCACCGTGGCCATCCGCGTGGCTCACACAATATTTTGCAGGTCCAGGTGCCCGTCAAATTTGGACAGGTTTAAGTTAGGCACTGGGCATTTCGGCCTTAAATACAGTCTGGCTTCCAAAAAGAGACAGAAGGCTCTAAAGTCCGTTCACGGACTGAATACACTAGAGGATATGGTCGCATAGCGTTCCGGCGGTTTCTCCACTAAAATCTTCAGAATGAGTCTTCGCAGCATGCTTCGAGTTGCTACTCCATAGAACGAAGCCTTGGCAAGGACTCAAGTATCATGTATCTTAAACCGTCGGGTCATTGGAGGTTAGCATTCGCACAACGCCATCTTCGACCTACTATTTAGGAGCACTGCGTGCCTGATATCAAGCTAGCTTTGCGTGGCGTATACAGTTTCGTCCATCCAGGTGGCAGAATATAATGGAACCCGCACAAAGCTGCAAACGAACCAGGGTGGTGTTAACCTCAAGCAAAAAGAGGTCCTAATATCACCATCACCGAGTTCGTCGAGTCGCCGAATCTTGTTAGGTTCCTGCTTGTATGGCACCGAGGTTGATCCTTAGTAGCACATGGTGACCGTACATGGTGACAAGTGAGCTTGCGGGAGATTTGCAATTTTTCTCACTCGGATTGGCCACAGGGTTCTTTGAGATGGCGAAGCTGAATGCTAGGATGCACCAGCTTTCAATAGAGAGCGACGCAATCGTAATCACGTTGTGCTCAATGTCGGTGTGGCACAGACCTTACACAGGTCGTTCAGCTTATATTCAACATCCCTTCCCATTCCGTTTGGTAGCCGAGTCCGTGTGTCTGCTTCTGACGACGATTGGAGGGTGGGTGCACAAGTAAAGTCCATGATCCTATTGTGTGCCCATGAGCTGAGCTCACAATCGCACCGAGAGCTCATCAATTTATACCGATTGCCCTCTGCAGCCTTTGATAGACCACAACAGATTTTGGCGAAATGACTGCCCGTCGAACGTCGAACACGGGATGGAATGCCACACACGCAAGGCCTGGTGGCATTTCAAATGCGCGAGTTTACAGGACGACCAGACCACAGATTTGGCGAAATGACTGCCCGTCGAACGTCGAACACGGGATGGAATGCCACACACGCAAGGCCTGGTGGCATTTCAAATGCGCCAGGTTACAGGACGACCAGATAAGCCGACTAGCTAACTCTCCTGACACGTTTGTCTGCGCCATCTACCTCTACGTCAAGGGTGCAATGCATACCGCAGCGAAGAGGAGAGCCCCCCAAAACGGTGCCCAATCCCCAGTGCAGATGCCGAAAGACCACTGCCAGTGTTCCGCTTTAATCGGGATACTCGACGCAAAATTAGAGCGTCTTTCAAAGGCACTGGAGGACTCAGGCGCTAAGAATGCCTCGACCGGGACGAAAGTTGACAAGGAGCTTTCTTCGCTGGACCGATACCTCGCGATTTCCATACCGGGCCCTTTGGATGCGAAGAAAGTAATGCAACTCTCTGAAGCGACTATAAAGACCGCGACAGCGTCTGTAGTGGACAGGCGCCTGAGGAGAAGAAGACTGATAATCTGGGGTTCATTTTCCGGAAAAACCACGACAGTGAAGCTGGCACAAACAATCCTTAGGAATGTCCTCACCAAGCCCGACCAATCGCTCCATGCAGAATGGTTACGCCAGGAGGGAAGCAAGCGAACGCTTGGAATTCTCGTCACTCTTTCTTCCCCATCTGACGTACAGAATATCTTGGAGCGGGCTGGCAGCATTCAGAAGGCCAACCCAATGGTCAGGCGTCTATCTGAGGGTCGCCCTCTAGCCGTGCGACAGCTCGGTCACAAGAGGTCAGGGGTGGAGTAACGAAACAGGCTTCCGCTGGGCACAAACCCAGCCGACCGCGAACTCATGACCAAGCCGATTGTGGTCATATCCCCTTGTGCTTCAGAAAGCACGCCGACGAAACCAGCTGCGTCTCCAGACAGCAGTTTTTATTCGACCACCACAGGCCTCTCGCCCACCAAAAGCGGTGATGTCCTGGAGGAGGCAAACCTCACATGCAAGCAGCGCCCGAAGTACGTGGAGCTATCAACGCTTATCTCCGTAACAGCTGCAGCCACGCAATCCTAAACAAAGCCACAGTATTGAACTGTACTGAGTCAGATGCGCGGGACGAACAGCGAAGCCAATCTTCAGCTCCCCTCCGTCAAAAGCGTCCTCTCTGTTTGTGGACACAACCGCCGCCCAGGACCTTGACAACCTAAGC